GGTGCCAGCCTGACCTGCAGCCCTCCCCAGGTGGGGACACCAAGGGACTGCCCTCCTTCAGCAGCAGCTGCTGGGTGACCCGCAGAGGGGCCCCCTTCCAGCCCACTGCACCTGGGGGCCTGTCACTGGGCACCCATGCCTGGCATCACCTGCCACCCTGCAGCACTGAGCGCCCATGTGTCCCCCAGCTTCAGCCCCACCCAGCCACCCCGGACCTGCTTCTGGCACCCTGCAGGTGTGGGTGTCCCCAGGGTCTCCCTGGGGCTGGTTGCCAGAGGGGAAAGCCAAAGAGCGCTGTCACGTGAAACTAAGGCCTGCAAACTCAGAGTGAGTCTGAGCTGCCAACCAGCACACAACTATTCCCCCTCTCTCCCTGAGTTTAATTTCTGGCAGTTGACTTACTGAGTTAACTCGGCACGGCATTAGAAGAGCGCCAGACCACTGCAAGGAGGGAGCAGACCCAGAAGCAGCAGCTGGCCCCCATATCAGCCAGGCTGCATTATGTAACCTCACCCTAAAATTAGCTTGGGCAAATGTGGGCTTGCTTGGGTGTAGGTCCCTGGGCGCCTGTTCAAAGTGCGGCATCTCTCAATGAGGTGTCTCCTCCACTTTTTGGTTTGCTAGCTCTCGGGGACACAGCATTTTGGTTTTGTAAGTGAGCTAGTTCTTGGAATAAGCTTGGGAATTGCTGTCCAGCATCATTTTGAGCTGTGTAGCTCAGCGATAACACTTGTCCTGTCAAAATATTGTTCTAAGGTCGCTAAACTGTACTGTCCTTCTGTCTGCAAGGGATTGGTTTGAAAAGCATCAAACTGGTGGAGGCTCACAGTGTAAAGGACTCACCATAGGGCTTGTCAGCTTCTGCATTTCCAGCTTTGGTATGTACGGAAAGTGCGGGGCGAGTTAATGACTGCTGTGTTTCTAGGGGGAGGTTGCTGGTGCAGCCTGCACGCCTCCTCCTGCATATATTGCTGGTGTTTTTCAAGCTGCCTGGTTATCTAAAATCTGCTGTTAAACTGGACGGTCTCCTGCATGTCCACCACAATGCTTTCAAAGTCTTCCGGTAACACCTGTGGAATTGATATTGAAATGGTGATATAAAGAGGAAATTCAAGTTTGCTCTATAGTTAACAGTTGTGATGTACAAAATTTTCAATAGCAGAAACTGCTCCCACATATGCTTGCATAGGATAGTCCTTTTTTCATAGCTGAGATAGTTAAGATATGTTTTGTATATAGTTTTAAGATAATGAATAGAAATGGATCATGCATACACTGGAGTAGTTAACGCAGGACCAGCGACCAGCTAGATTGTAGTAATTCATCAAGACAACAGTTCAGAGAGCTCACCTGATCCAGCTGAAGATGCTGTTGCAAGGATGCTTGCAATGAAGACTTCCTTCTCTATCCATACTGTGACTGGCTGTCACGTTCAAGAGATTTGATTCCCCATGTGAGCATTATCCCATGCAAAAGATCCCAATAAATTATTTTAATTAACATTATGTCCATGGGTGTCTTTGCAACGGTTTGTCTTGGATTTGTTTGTGTATTGCAAATAATTATTCTTATTCTCCAATTATTAAATTTAGTGTGTGAGCCTAAACCGAAGATGCATTGTTTCTTTTGTTACATTGCCTTGTATAATCATTAAGTGTTCTTCAAAACTTGTCGTTTCAGGATCAGGATGGCCAGAAAAGAAGGCCAGCTGCTGGTTAATTTGAAAACAAACTACCCTGATGTGGTTGTAGATATTGGGAAAATAATTCTTGGAGAGGTATCCAGAAAGAAGATCTCTGACAATCAGAAAAGGAAACGAAGTGAGCTCGTTAAAACAGTGTGCTCATTGCTGAATTCAGAAGGAGTAGTAATGAGGATCGAGACTGAAAATAAGAATTACTATTTTCGGGAACGTGGCATTGGCCCAGACATAGAGCAGTCCTTCAGGGTGTTTATTGACTCTGCAGAGACTTTACATGGATGCAGCAGCAGAATCCCTTTCTGCTTTTTGTGAAAAACTTGAAGCTGTGGAGATCCAGAGCAGAAAAGTGAATCCACAAAGCCACATTATCTGTAGCTTGAGCTCTGGTTTGTCATGTAGATCTTTCACTTCAGTTCTCCCTGTTGCTCCACGTGCAGCTGTTGGATTGCTCAGAAAGAAGGAAACCCATGCCAAGAGCTCTGAAGAGAATGGGCCAAGTCCTAAGAAAGCCTGGCTGAATTTTGATGGGGGAGCAAAGGAGACCCCTCTGAACACTCAGGAGTGCCACATCCAAGTTGCCACTGCCAGGTTTTTAAGAAGAGAGAAACTGATGCCTGGAGAGGTCTTGGATTTCACGGAGACAACCCATGTTGAGTTTAAGAACTTCTCAACAAGGAATGTCTTGAAACACATTAGAGAAATCCTTCCAAATTATGTCTCTGCCTTTGCAAGCACTCAGGGCAGTTATTTAGTTTTTGGAGTGGGTGACAGCAGTGAAGTTGTTGGAAGCCACAGTGAAGTAGAAAAAGAAGCTTTAGGAAAAACAATAGCTGATGCCAGAGGCTCATTGCCTGTCTATCACTTCTGTAGGTCTCAGACTAAGGTACAGTTTAAGTCTAACATCCTGAATGTTTACAACAAAAAGGAACGCTCGCAGGGCTATGTATGCGCTCTGAAAGGTGAATCATTTTGCTGGGCTGTTTTCCACAATATCCCTGACTCCTGGATTGTGAAGGGTAACGCCGTTGGCAGACTAAGAATGTCAGAGAATGGACAGCGCTCATGACAGCTGCAGATCCAGTAAAATTAGGGGGAAGTTGTCATTTACTTTAGTATCAGCTTCATTTTTGCCCTAGTTTGTAAGCTTTCAAGAGCAAAGACCAACCTTTTGTTCTATGCTTTTGCCGCACCTAGAGGATTCTGGCCCATGGCACAGTCACAGTACAACAGTAATAATTTGGCAGTACCACTCTGGGCACTGTTGGTGACTGTACAGTTACTGACCTCCAACATCAAACCATTATTGGAAGCAGAACCGTTTGAACTGTTTCAGCAGGACTTTTTGAAGCACTCCCAACTGTTGGAAGTCTTCCTAGGGTTCAGATCCCATGTGCTTCCTAAACAAAGTGGCCAGATTCAAAATTGCCCATGAGCTTCCATTACTCTTAATGGGAATTGCAGAAGACTTTTGAAGCTGGCTGTATCTGTTAAGATGCTTAGGAGGATGCTTAGTGGAAATCTGGCCACTTTAGGTGCCTAAAAGGAGTCTGTTTTAAAAAAATGTCCTTACTGGTGCTGCTCCCCAGAGAGTGAAATCCCCAGAGGCTGTTGTGCTAGTGGGGATTAATCTCCCCTCTGTCCTGGTTTGGCCTGCGTGGATGCAACATCTGGCCACAAAGTGTTTGGTGCCAACATTAAGATAAAACGATCATTTTAGCTGTAATGATGGTGTCAAACTGACTTGCAACTTTTCTTTTCCTTCCTCATATCTAGTACTAACAAAATCTGGAACGAAGTCAGCAACACCAGTTGTGGCTACTAGTGCCTTTCCAATCAGGTTTTCAGGGATCAGCTTGAGGTTAAGAAAACTGCCTTTCAGTCTACAGACCAACAAGCACAATGGTCTGTAGGCAGCAGGCAAAAGGCTCCTCCTTACTGAGGCTCTCATGCATTTCAGGTGTCAGTCGAAATGTCACTTTGCACACCTGGTGTTGGCTTCATGGCTGTTAAAAGCTGTGTTTTGAAGGATCAGGGGTTTAAGGCTTAGCTTGTTTTAGAGCATGTTGCCCCACTTCACTGTGAAATCCTGCCCCTTCAAAAGCTGTGTCCTGCATTGGGTTCCATCACCCCATGACAAGACCTGTATCGCAGGTCCTAGGGAGGTTATTCTGTTGTTTCATAGACCAGGGATTTGAAAAAGAGGTTTTCAGTCTTAAGCTGAAACTAGCTCTCCTTTCCTACCGATTCCCTGTAACACAAATCTCCCACAAGTGTGTGCTCATGGTAGTGACAGCATGAAGAAGGAATGTATTAGGCAAATGGCACCTGCTGTCCAAAGAGGCCAAGCAAGGCAGCTCTGGCATGTTACGGACTCTCTCCTGTGCCTGTGGCCTGTGTTTAGTGCTGGGATGTCCAGTCTCATCAGTCAGTTGTTTTCTGTTGGTGATGATCAGAGCTGAAGGGAAGGAGGCTGAAAGGACAATAAAGTCACAGAAAACAGAGAAGGTGATGTTGACAGGAGGGCAGCAAAGCAGGGAAAGCATTTGGAGATGTGTGTCTTCTGCAGAGACTCAAGTGGTACACACAGGTTATTCCTTTTAGATGCTGTACACTCTTCAGCTGTCTCTTGCCTGTGCGCTGGTCTCAACAACCTCATCCGAGGTGTGGTTTAAATCTTGGCTTTGAATCATAAAACCATCTATGCTTTGAGCCCTATTCTGCCTGCAGAAAATCAAGATCATGCTGGTTTGACCCAATACTGTCGTTCTTAACTGTGTACCCCGCATTTTCTTGAGCAGGATTGAGAAGGAAGGTTTTAAATTAATCATTTCAGGTGCTCTTTAGTGTTGGGTTTTGGAAGTTCATATGGAAGGATTTTGATCGGCATAACAAATATTTTTTTCCCCCAAGACATTTCAAATCTGGCTGATAAATTTCAGAATCAGCTGAGCTTGGCTCTTATCAAGCCAATTTACTCAAAAGCTGGTCTCCAGTGTACGGGTGAGCTCCAAAACTGCCTCTATCCAGGCACACCATTTATTCTGGACATTTTTTGGACTTTAACATGGTATTTGACAGTGCTTCTAGGAAGTTAACATGACATAAAAGATAAGATTTTAGGCATACAACTGGTAGAGTATTTAAAAGATGCAACTGCTCCAGTAGTGTTGATTTGCTTGATTTTTCAGGTGTTTTGAATTCTCCTTCCCCATTTTTGCCACTAGGTGTAATCCTTAGCACACGCACAAAATTGATGAGACTATACCCCATGTCCTGGGGGCTTAGGCACCAGCTGCCACCTGCTGTGCTCAAAAATCTTATGGGCCAACGGAAAACATATAAGTATAGCCAATAGTTCATTTGTAATATATTTGAAATCTTAATAGTCTAATCAAAGGTTTGTTATTAGCCCAGATCTAATTATTACAAAAAAAAGAAAGAAAAATTAAAAAAATGAATACTACTAGGTGGAAAAATTCTTAATAATTAAAACTGTTACCCACACGTTTCCTAGTATCTATCCCTTTTCTTGGTCTTATTCTCAGCCTTCCACCGCCCCTCGGGGTCCGAATGTTGCCGGCTTCACTTTGGCGTGGAGGGACGTTACAGTGAGTCATCAGCATCCCGGGTCCTCTGTGGGGAGGAGTATGTTGCTGATGGTGACGGTTTCTTCCTCATGCCACGACTGACCTGAGGTCATTTGCCTCATGTTGGCTAATACACTTTTATGCCGCGCTGTTTCTTCACTGGCTGCAAGTTCACCATTACATCTGAATTTACTATTCAGGGTATGTTTCACAAGCTAGATTCTTGTTGTTTGTTCTGTTATGCCTTGGACCAGTTTTGTCCACCTCCATGTCTGCATTTCTTTCACTGAGCATTCAAGAGCTGTTTCTAGCCTCGGTATCACCAATGCCAGCCTGTACCCCATCTCTTATCATCTTATATCTGAAAGCCTCAACACCACATCCTGTGATGTTCCAATTTTTCGGGACCTCTGTTATCATACCAGGCCTGTATTCTCAACTCTACATCATTATGTTAGAGGCAGAAGATCACACTCTGTACAGAGTAACTACTTATTGCTACTATTATACAAAACTATGGTTGTGCCATACACAAATAAGCAAAGCAAACCAAATTAGCTACAACCACCTGCTTATTAGGAAAATGACTGTTGTAAAAAAAGTTAAAAAAAAACTCCAGACAGGCCAAGGAAAACTCAGACAAAGCAAGTCTGATGAGCCTCAGTCCTGAGGCCTTGCAAACTCAAGACAAATACTGTGTCTTGGTACTAGCAATGGCAATACTATAGTACTGGGCTACAGGGCTACACACTAAATATCTGGGTGTCCGAAGTCTAACCGTCTTAGACGCTCATTTCAGCCAATATGTTAATTCTACCACATTGCACATTGAGGGGGGAAAGTAAAGCTCACCCCTTACAGTACAGGTGTGGAGAATCTTGCCTCTTTAATTTTTTTAGGTGAACAGAGATGTATAAACACCTTGCTTTATTTCAGAAAATCTTGAGCTATAGAAGCAGCTATGGTTGCTGAGCAACAGATATTCCCACATCATTCATACCAAGCCCTTTAAACATGAGAAAATAAAAATAACCAAGGACACCATAAATCTCACACTGCTCACACAGAACTGGCCTATGGCTTTTAGGTCAAGCTCTGAGTAAAGTGCATAGGATAGACACAGAACTTCAAGTCTACAGTCCAGTACCAAAACCATCCCTATCGGTAACGCACAGAAACTTTCTCATTAAATATATTCCACTGGATTTTCTTCCAAATACAGTCCAAATTCTGACCTATAGATATATCTATTAATTGCTAATTTTGCTAATTAATTTTGTAATTTTGCTATCTTTTCACACTTGTTTTCTTTCCGTGATTACTCTCAGATGGTTAATTTGCTAATCAGTTAATACTGTTTTAGTACATAATATATATTTTCTGTTGCTTGATCACAAAATCACAGAATGGTTGAGTTTGGAAGGGACCTCTGGAGATCATCTAGTCCAACTTCCCTGCTCAAGCAGGGTTACCTAGAGCATATTACCCAGGATTGTGTCCAGATGGCTTTTGAACATCTCCAGGGAAGGACACTCCACAACCTCTCTGGACAACCTGTTCCAGTGCTCAGATGCTAATGTGTTTTTTAAGTGGAAAACTGTATGACAGTCAGCATAAATGCATGTCTGCTTTTGAGATTTATCTGTGCCTTGTGAACGTGCATAGCTACAATTTTAACCTACAAATGTTGGGGAGGATTCATGTTATTCATTTTTAAAATTACCATTATTCATTGTTTCAGAAAAGCACTACGGTTAGCGTTGTGATGAGAGGTATATACTTGTATTCCTCTATATTTAATAGGAATGTGTGTCTATACAGCAAGAATGAAGAGACTAGTGAGGCTTCTAGATGCCTTTTCCCTCACTGTGTGCACTGAGTTTGAGTCGTCAGGAGTGTAGGGGATGCTGTAACAGGGCTGCCCTGTTCGGTTCAGCCGCCTGCCTCTCACAATGGCAACACCATATCCTTACCAGGAATACCTAGGTAATGAGGAGGCAGATACAAAGGATGCAGACCCTTCCAAACAGACTTCTTCCTTAATCCATGTAGAAGTCAGTCATGCCTGAAGCAGGGAGCTGATACCTCTTTTACTCATATAAAAAAATTCTTACAGACTTAATACCAGGTATCTGGGTTATCCATAAGAATGCTGAGTTTTTTACTTACACTAAATCATTTACTTTGATGATCTTATGATACAATATGCTCCTTAGGCAACCGGTGTGCTGAGTAACTTGTTTGCTATGTCTCTTATTTTTCTAATCTTTGATTTCTTTTTTCTGGTGGATTCTAATGTAATCAAACGGAAGCCAGAAACCATCTGCACTGAACTGTTCTCAGAGTATCCTGGATTACAGGATTTAATGAAAAAGCAAATCCTTCCATTTAATGAGAGGGTACTGATATTTTCAAGAAACTGGGCTGTTGACATTGGATTGCTGGAAAACCAGGACGTTGTGTGCAATATTCTCTTAGTAGCTAAAGATGCATATCCAGTACTGCGTGCTGTATTCAGAGATACCTCTTTGGCTGAGTCTGAATGCTCAAGAGAAACTGCTTATGCATCAAAGCAGAAGCTAGTCAGTGATGAGGGATAGACTTCAAAAGTGTGTGTGATTCCCCAAATGCTGCATCTGAACTGCCCCACCAACCAGATGAAAGTTCCAGGGGATGGCACCCCCCAGCAAGAAAACCAAGAAAACCCAGGTCATTACTCCAACCTGTACCTAGAGAATTGCGTCCTCCCTTCAACGGACATCTCTTCCTTCCTGTATGCACTTGTAATAGTTGTGATGAGGTTTAGATCCTATTTAAGAGACTGTCTTGGCTCACTCTCACTCTCAAACAGTTTGAGATGCTTTCCAAGATCCTGCACAAAGTCAAGAAGCAATTTGTCTTTGATCTTCCTGGAACAAGCAAAACAATTGTGGCTTTGAAGATCATGGAGCAAATGAGAAACATCTTCCACTGTGAAAATCAGTCTCTGAAGAAGTTTGTAGGGTAAGAAGTGATCTGGTCACTTGGATTAAATTGGTGTTACCTGAGTAATATCAAATCAAAATAACTTCAGAATAACCCTCCTCTTACTAATTCTCAAGAGAATTAAGAGCAACTCCAAGGAAACCAATAGACCACCTCCACTGCAGCTCTGTCTTGTGGCTCTAAATCATTGTAATCATTCACTTCCTTGGAGAGGCAGGGTCACAAGTCACTGACTCAAAACATTCATAGACTTAGAAGAAATTTGGTTCACTTGTTTTTATCTTGGTCTGATTTTTAAATCTCAGTCAGATTTTGAAGTAGCTAGATTCAGTTAATTGTAAACTGTCTAAGCAGGGAGTTTCAAGGAAGCATGTGGAAATGTGTATATTTCCCCTTTTTTCTTGCATTCCATTCTCTGCACATAAAGAATAAGTTCTGCTGATTTGGCATCCATTTGCCGAATAGATATCTTTGGCTGACACAAACACACAATAATCATTTTGAGAAAAGGTGTGGATATTAAAAAGAGAAGGAATGGGAATGAAAACCAGAATGAACTGAGCTTTGGCCCAGATACAGCATTCGCTAACTGCAGTGAGACTCGCGCATTCAGTGAATGCTGGATTGTGTTAGACTTTAAATGACTAAGGTCTTAGTTTAACACTCTTGATTGTCAAGCCTGGTGCTGACACCAAAAATGACCACCTGCCTTCCTCAACATTGTCCGTGCTGGGGTTGATGCAAGCTTTTTTGCAGCTGTGCCATGAAGTAGACCTTGGACTTGTGCCATCTAGATAAGCATAACAGGAACGAATGCCTTTTTGGTAGAGGATTTCAGCCAGAACATTTCTCCAGTCCTGTTCTCACTGTGTTTCCACTTGTGTCAGCACAGAGAGGTCAGCAAGCCACCATGGGTGGACTAGACACTTTGCATCAGGAAACCACAGCCTATTTCAGACATTACAATACCCAAGCAATAATCCCTGGCCTGAGCAGAGCAGATCACCTGGCACAAGTGCTTACTGTCCCCACTCACTCTGGGAAGAAAAGGGAACTCTTCGTTCCTGCTGGAGCTCAGGCGCTGCACAGCCATGACCACAAGGTTCATGAACCTAGGAGAGCGGGACTGAGGGACATACCTGGGGGGGGCCTTGCCATGAGGCCCCCATATAGGAAGGGTGGGCCTGAGTTTTGACTCCTGCTCCTAGGGCAGAGCCAAAGCCATTTGGCTGGGGGCTGGGCAGGCTGTGTAGCAATGCTTGCACACAGCCAATCCATTGGAAATAAATATTTCCATCTTGCAAATGATGTAGCACCCTGGAGCTGAGATAGGAAGTTTTGCTTTTTTAGATAGTAAACAGCAATAGCCCTCCAACCAACAACATGCTAAGAAACAGAGAAATAGTCAATACAGATTTGTCTGATCACTTCTTTTTATTTATCCATACTTTTTTTTTTTTTCCCAGAAATGAGACTTGCCCGTCTGTGACACATGTTGCCTTCTTAAATGGGGACTTCCCATTGTGGTTGATGAAGCATAGAATTTTCATCCAGAAGAAAACTGGTACCAATGTGCCCAGGAGCTAATGCAGAAAAACAGTCAAGATGAACCGAACATTTTCTGCATCTTCCTGGATTTCTTCCCATCCGCTCATCCATATGGTTGCGGTCTTCCATTTTCAGAACTATATCGTCAGGAATGGCTGACCAAAGGAGTCTGTAACGCCCAACAAATATATGATGCCATGTTTCCTGTAATGGAGAAAATTCTCCCAGAATGTAAATACTTATGCCATATGGGACACTGGAAATGTTGTTTAAACAGGCTGGAAGTGCCCATTCATTGCCAGGTGGCTACAGAATAAAGAAAAATATGGAAACATTTGAAACGGCAGAGTATGTGACCAGGATGCGCCATCAGTTATATCAAGCATGGCTATTCCTTCAAAGATACTGCAATCCTGTGCAGTACACAGAAGGCAGCAGAGGAGTTTTATCGGATCCTGGAACCTGCACTAAAAAGATAAGTAAGGAAATACAGGGTAAGGTTGGTCTTTGGGACAGCAGAGAATGTTTTAGGAAACATTATCATTCCTGACAGCATCCAACGTTTCTCAGGCCTAGAAAGCAGCGTTGTGTTTGGCATCCACCCCCATGCCTGCACAAAGGGAGATTTCTCTCAATCTTTTACTGTGGATAGCATCCAGAGCCAACGCCAAACTCTGTTTGCTGCTTCACAAAGAAAAGATGTTCCTAGAAGACATCTTTAGATGATGGCTTACTCTTCTGTGAGTCTGCAGACACTAGATTGCTTCACTCATTTTTTGTTCAGTGACATTACAGGGCAGCATTAAGATTGTCTGATTTTTTTTCATTCTGTAGTTTATGCCAAAAAATTATGCAGTTCCATCTATACATTTGGTCATGTACAGGCCTGCAATATTTCATAAAGTTGATTTTAATGGAAGGACATCTCACCTGGGGAGGACAAATTGCTGAAAATGGCAATTACAGAAAGAAGTAAATGATTGCAAACAACTTGGACAAATTATAGAACAGTTTGGAGACTTGTTCTTTCAATTCCCCTGCTTTTTTAAACTGATTGCATGATTCTGACCTGTTTCAGCACAACAGAGTGGAAATACTGGCTGGAAACACATCGGGGCCCTCTGTGATTGGATCCCAGCTGGTGCAGATGCAAATGGTCAAAATCCTGCTTTTTTGTAGGAGGGAAGATGTTGGTGAATTTTTAGCCACATCTTCCCTTTTCTCATCCAAAAAGATATAGCCACTGCCTGCTTTTGGGACTGTCGTCACCTCCTCTGGGACTGGGGCTGTAGTTTTGTGGCTACACTGAATCACCTTAAATGCAGATTTCTGCCAACAGAGACAGTTCTGTCCTCAACAGCACAGTCCCAACGCTCTCATAAGCAGGGTCTGGTGTGTAATGGTGCGGTAAGTTGGGAACTCATTTTTTTTTTAGAAAATTAGTCTTCAGCCAAATCAGTTCTACCTCATCGTGCAGCTGGCCAAGTGCTAGAGGTGGCAGGAATATGCTCCTTGGAGAAGGAGGCAGCACTTCTCCTTCACCTTGCTTCCTTTTGGCAGCCGCTCACCTGTGTACCCACTCAAGCTGTTCAGAAACTGCAGCAAGTCACCAAGATTTCTTTGTTCTAACTGGGACTATTGAAATTAACAAGATGTTGCAATGCCGTGTGAATGTTGAAAGCTCAATTCTTACTGTCAGGTCAAATTTGATAAAAGCAGTATAGCTCTAAACTCTGATTGTGCAGAAAACGGTTGAGAATCTACCACATAATTAAGTCTTCTCTTTCCATTTCAAATGCTAACTGTTGCCAGAGCTTTGCCGATGTTTGTCTTATAATGCAGCTCCTATTACTGTTTGCTCTGACACAAGGCACTATTAGTGGCATGAAAATGTCATATTTGCCCTGAAAATGACATTTTGCCTCTTATACAATTATACAAGCTTTCTGCTTTTGCACAGAAATGGTCGTTTGAACCACAAGGGATCAGGCTGGTGGGCCTCCCACCAAACTGAAGAGCAGGGGAAGGTGGCAGGACAGAAGAGCCTGAGCCTTGGGTGAAACATGCGCTGTGAATGAGGCCACAGAAATTCTATCCTTTGTAGTTGGGAAGGCAATAGTCCCATAAGAAATGAAAACTAGGCCCAGAAAGGAGTAGCACAGGATGTGAAAGAGAACCAGAGCAGTATGCACCTTCTACAGGGATGCCAGAAGGCTGAGAAAGGAGTCAGGCACTTGGAAATGTCTTGCTCTAAATGGAGACATTGATGTACTGGGCTGTGACCAATCAATAAATGCCTACGATGGAAGACGGATCAGAGAATATGGGCAAGGGTGATGTGCCCGTGAAGGTCGGGGAAGAATGTAAGGTGTGACTGGTCACAGCTGTTGCAAAGAAAGCTGAATTTATCTCAACTCAAAGGGGACTGGAGGGCAGCCTTTGTTTTAGATAAAGGGCTGTATCAGTCAAGTGGATCCACTGACTCCATCACAGTTGAGTGGATCAACAGGTTATGTAAATATTTCTCCCAGAGTTAATCAAAAGAGTGTGAATGTCTCCCTGAGTTAGCCAGACCAGCATGGCAGGGGGTGTACACATGACTCGGCCCAACATAGAGTATGAAACCTAAACAACTAGCAAAAGGAATTTTGAAGAGAGCAATGGGCTTGAGCTGCTTCCAATCCACGTATTTCTTCCCTGAGACTGGGGAAGCCCAGCATTGTGATGGTGAGCATATTACAGAGACCAGTAATGGGAATCACTTTTGTATTGGGATTTAACTGTATGTTGCGATTGCTGTATTCTGCTAAGTGTAACTTACGCTCGTATTGTGGTTTCAGTATATTGCTGTATCACTCTGCTAAATCAAAATCCCGTGTAACGTCAAATACCTTCAAGTAAGTAAATCTGAAATTAAACATTGCACCCTCCACATGTGGAATATCTAAAAGACCGTGATCGGAGATTACTGGACTCTGAAACAGGCCTGTCAGAAATGTGGTGGAGGGACAACGACTGGGGAGCTGCTGAAGGACCAAGGCCAGTTGTGCTGACAAAGCACAATGCTGGATGGTAAAAAAGCTAAAAGTCACATCAGACTAACAGTGCAGCCACGCCAGTGCAGGCTCGTCCCCTCCCTTCAGTGCCGCCAGCCTTGGGGGGCAGGAGGCGAGGACGCAACGCAGTCTCCGGAAGGCAACCCGCGACCGAGCCGGGCGGCCTGTTCGGGTCCGGGAGCGGCACGGC